GCAATCCCGTTACTGGTCAGTAAAAAAGACAAAAAAGGAAAAAAAAAAAAAAAAATCCCGTTACTGGTCAGTAAAAAAAACAAAAAAAGAAAAAAAAAAAAAAAAAAACAGAAACTAATTGAAAAGCCACATATACAACTAAGTTGGTCTCCAAAATACACCTTTCTGGCATTCGGCTGGTTATTTTGAACAAGTCTGAAACTTCTCCTAGGCCCACCTCTGTACTTCCTCAAAAAAATCCTATAGTAAATTCCCATAATTCTGTGTTGCCTCAGCATCCATTTTTGAATTCCCCTCTGTATCTCACCTAACTGACCCACCTAAACCTAAACGCTCTCCTCCCAGTCAGGACTCTCCTAGAGAGTGGCTACCTTGACACATCCGTCACATGGATAGAGTTTATCGCCACTCTACAAAGAGAAACCTCAAGACCAAATTAAAGGAAAATGCAACAAATCCAGTTTTAGCAGAAATGAATGTCTTGTCCACTCAGACGGGTCTTTGGAAACATTCAGACAGCCCTTTGGATGTCTCCTCAGTCTAGTCCACTGTCTCCATAAGACTGACCTCTGACAATAGGTTTTCTCTGGGCCTTTTACATATGAATTTCCTACCCTGTCTTCTCTAAAATGTGATAGTTATCTTTTGGAAATATAAACTTCAGGGAAATTACTATCATTAGAAAGCCAGAAGAAGAAACTATTTGGAAAATGGGCAAATGAAAAGTCTTAAAAGCCTTCTCCACAAAAATTGGCAGAAAGCTTTAGCCATCCAAGTGGGTAGTTTTTTGGGTTTTTTTTCTTTTTTTTAAAAAGATGACCAGGGGCCGGCCCGGTGGCATACTGGATAGTGTGCCGCTTGGGAAGCGCGGTGGCGCTCCCGCCTGAGGGTTCGGATCCCACACACAGACCGGTTCCCGCTCACTGGCTGAGCGAGACGCGGGAGCAACACCGAGGGTTGCAATCACAGACCGGTTCCCGCTCAACTGGCTGAGCGAGGCGCGGGAGCAACACCAAGGGTTGCAATCCCGTTGCTGGTCCCCGGTCCGGTACGGGGGCAACACTGAGGGTTGCGATCCGTTGCCGGACCCGGAAAAAGACAAAAGACAAAAAAATAAAAAATAAATAAAATAAATAAAATAAAAAGATGACCAGTAAGGGGGTCTTAACCCTTGACTTGGTGTTGTCAGCACCACGCTCACCCAGTGAGCAAACCGGCCATCCCTATATGGGATCCGAACCCGTGGCCTTGGTGTTATCAGCACCACACTCTCCTGAGTGAGCCACGGGCCAGCCCCAAGTGGGTAGTTTTAACTTGTCGCATTTGCCAGATCTAGCTAGTGAGCCTGGAATTATCGGACCTGGAATGTATGCGGCTGAAAGTTTTCGAGTGAAAGCTGTGAGATCTGCTTCTGTATCTACATTTACATCATTAAATATAATACATGCACTTTTGCCTGGGTTTGCTCGTCAGGCAGGTTTGTGTTGTCCCTGCGAGATTTTTACCATCATAAAACTATAAATCCAACCAAAGAGCAGAATGCACAATAAAAATGATTTGCCTGATGCATGTCAGTCGTGAAAAAAAGGAAAGGGAAGACCCATGTCTAACTTTTTAGTCTCTTTGCTTCTGTGATTTTTCCAGTACTTGCCTGATTTGTCAACACGAAAAACAAAATAACTTAAGATAGAGGCTAGCTTTGTTTAATGTCTCATAAAATTTTCATGAGCAATTCAAGGATAATTATTAAAAATAGGTAAATTAAATATGATATAAATGGGATAAAAGTATATAAGCAAACCTTTCAACCATAACTATGTTTTATAAAATGTCTATTTAAATAGTTTCAAAAATCTTTATGGCAACTTTGCGAAGTTAAAAAAATTAAAAAACTTTTTGAAACATTTAAGTGAAATTAAGCTAACAGATATGCATTAAATGTCTGGGTCATTTCTAAATAAGTTAAAGACACTAAAACTTACTAAGCATAATTTAAAATTTAAAATCTTTGGCGTCTTATTTTTATAATGCATAGATAAGCTAAATATATTTAGGTCTGCTAATAAACATAAAAATTATTTCTAGAAATTATGAAATGGTGAATGCTGATATAAGAGTTTATAATGCTGGCTAGTTTTTATTAGAAATTAAGGTTACTAAGAGCTAAAAATTATAATGAATATATGCAATTAAACTACTAAAATTATAAGGGCAACAACTCTGTATGCAAGGAAAGTAAGAAGTGTTTGATAAGAAAAGGTATGAAGGATGCATTTTTGTTATTAAAAAAAAGAAAAGCTGGCAATTTTTTTTTTAAAAAAGAAATCTTATCTTGTATGGTCAAAGCTGACTGAGAGTGGATGGATCTATTTATAAGGTTTTAGTAAAACTAGCTTTAGTATTATAGTACACTGATACAAAAGCAGAATTTCATCTTCTCTGTTAAAATGACAAAGTTTTCTTGGAGTATTGGTCTGAGGATGTGAAAGGTTTTTTTTTTGTTTTTTGTTTTCCCTTTTAAGCAATTGGCCTAGGAAATGAAGATTCCGTGTCTTATCAAGGTAATTTCTTGTGTTTTATAGTGTCCTTTATTAGGTCTTTGATTACTTAAGAAAAGTGAGTCTTCTCAATACTAAAAGAGCTAAGTTTTTGTTCACAACTGTTTAACTTTTGCATTTGACTTTAATTTCTTATTGTCACTTCGACTAAATAGATAACCAAGACCATATTTGATCAAATGCTTTAAATCTTTTGACATTTTTGACAGACTTCCCAAAATTGAATTCTAAATTAAGTCCTTTTGACCTTGAATTAACTTTGGGATCTTCCAGTTGGGCCCCTGGAAAGCCTTCAAGGATGCATCTCTCACCTTACTTGCAAAAGAGAGATATTAAACTAATCAGACTTATTTGAAATGTTAAATCATATGGAAAGCATTGTCCAATAATAAATGATGCCAAACCTTCTTTAAGTTATATTTATGGATATGTTATTGATTTTACAAATCTCGTACAATTTTTGGAAATTTGATGTTTGTCATTATTTTTGTCACTATGTTAAAACATTTGGTTATTATGTCAGGTAAGAACCCGACCAAAAGGGGGGAATTGTTAAACAAAAATGCTGAAAGCCAATGTTTTGGATTGAGCTCCTGTACTAGGTGCCAACAGACCAGACCAACCAAAATGGAGTCACTCATGCTAAATGCCACATAATCAAACTAAAACTTTAAGGAAGCAGATAGGTCCCAAAACAGATAGATTTTTCCTGAAGTCAGGAGATTCCAGTCTACTTGAGTCAGCGTAATAAGGTAGTCCCCTCTGCTTTTAACCCTTACAAAAAAGTGACCTGGAGTTATCCTAGGTTAGCCAATCGCTTTTTTCCCTATGGTTCTGTTCCCTTATTTCCACCTTCTAAAACCCACGGTTCTGCTACTGCCAGTGGGAGCTCTCATTCTATTTTGTAGAATGGAGGCTACCCCAATTCATGAATCTCCAATAACAGCCAAGTAGATCTATCACCAAATCTGTTGTAATTTTTTTCTTTTTCTTTCTTTCTTTTTTTTGGGGGGTGTGACTGGCCAGTACAGGGATCGAGCCCTGGACATTTTTGTTATCAGCACCAAGCTCTAACCAACTCAGCTGACCAGCCAGCCCTTGTAATTTTTTTTTTTTGATAACCTCATTTTGCATTAAACTCATACATGGTCACATTTTAGTATCTGTACCTCATTCTGATACCATAAGGCAAAAAAGTGCATATTCCTGTCTTATAACTGAAGAAATTGAGGTAAAATCAAAATTGATTCATACAGGACAATACTCAACAATACGTCAGTACTGACATTCTAACAACTGGGTTAGTTAGTGCTAGCTGTGTTCTCCCTCCAGTTAAATCCTTTCCTTCAGTTAAATTTGATGAGGACTAACAAATTCTGTTGGTGAACACTGTGCAACTCAATGTGCACTGCTGTCTGCAGGTTTGTAATTTGGGCACAACAGTAGTGTCTTGTAGAATTTACTCACTGATACCTCCTACAGAGAGTGTTTTTGTCTCTGTCCTTGGAACACAGTAAGAATATCACAGATTACACCATCTATCCCTTCAACATTTTTCAGGTAACTTATGCAGTGCCCAGCATTCATAGAAAACATTTCTGAGCACCTAAAAGGAGGCTGAATAAAACCTAGTCCCTGACAGTCGAGTGAGAAAGACAGACAGGCAAATCAGTAATTTCTACAGAAAGTGACAAGTTCTTTTCTGGAACCGGGCACGTGACGCTGGAGGAACACAGGCAAGGGCAAATAAATCAGATCCGGTAGGCGGAAAAGGCTTCTCAGAGGAGCAGATTTCTAAGTTGTCAGTACCAGAGTTTAACCATCTCTGATTCTGACTTCAATTCCCAGCACTCAGGTGAGAAAGTATCTCCTGACCCTGCTTTCCCGAGTTTCTCACACTGTCACAGCTAGATTTAGTGCCTGTGTTCCAAGAAGAGGAAAAAAGGAAGAAAGGGAGAGAGGGAGAAAGGCAGGGTAGGGGAGAGGTAGGAGTTAAAAGCACCATTACAGACAGTCTCCCCAAGCTGCTAGAGGTGGCCAGGGGTATGAAGGATGACCACCCATGCCCGAGCAATCTGCGTCCTCGACATGGGTATAAAATCCACCCTGTGACACCCTTGCTCGGGGCACACAGGAGCATGGTCTTCAATCTGAGGAACTTTGTTGAGCTAGGCCAGTGAGGGCGGTGAAATGAAGGCCCATTCCCTGTGCATGCCAGGAAAATGAGGTCAGACTCATTGGCTAACTCCCCAAGGTGACTTCTCCACACAGAATGCACCAAGGGACCCCAGTCTGCCCCAGGTCTTCTGCCTTCCCAGAGATGAACACGTTTGTGATCCTGCTCCTGCCCGCTGAAACCCAAACCAGCACCTGCCTCCTTTGGGATCCCATTCGCCACCCGGGATTCCACCAAAGACGTGAAAAGAAAGTGTAAGTTATTACCTCAGATTGTCCTCCAGGGTCTCCTCATCCGAAGAGAAGGTCCCATTGCTGCCACTCCGGGGAGAGTACCTCTTCTTCCCTCCGCTCCAGACCCGTCGCCATCTTTTCTCTCAAAATTTCGTTTTTCTTTATAAATCACCTCAGATTGTCCTCCAGAGTCTCCTCATCCGAAGAGAAGGTCCCATTGCTGCCACTCCGGGGAGAGTACCTCTTCTTCCCTACAGACTCCTCCCGAGCCAACGAAGCGTCTTTCTTTTTCCTTTTGCCAAACAGCTTCTTAAAAGGCTGGAATTTGCCTCCCTTCTTCTTGTCTGTGGATTACAAGATAAACACACGCTGCAGGTTGATAGGGCTGCACCTCTGAGACTAATAGCAAATTATAATTAAGTTGCTTCCAGCCAGGAGAGCCAGGGCAAAGGGCAGCCATCTGCCCGAATGAGCGACCAAGCCCAGGGTCAGGAATGGCAGGGCCAGCCCCAATGCAGGCCGTGCATGGTGAGGTGGAGCACAAGCCCAGGTCATGGTGTATCTCTGTCCCCCAGGCTCCCAAGAAATATCTGGGGAGAACACGAAGAGGTGTCACACTTCACGGTAACTGGCACAGCACCCCCATCTACGGAAGAAGCTGAGAAACACAGGAAAGTCAGACAGGTGTTTAAAAAAAAAGAAAGAAAAAATCTCTCTCTCTCCTCTTCGAGAATCACTCTGTTTTAGCCTTTATTAGATACATACGATAGCTGTTAACTCTTGGCATAAGCTTTGCCCCCAATTCCCTCCATCCCCATATATTTCCAGTTTATTTCTCTTGTCTCTCTTTAAAATCTACTATAAAGAGTCCCAAAGGAATTGCTATGAACATCTTCCCATATATTACTTCATCTTGTCAGGACCGAGGCTGGCTGCCAACATTTGCTACAGATATTTTAGGTAATATCTTTCAGTTCTGCTCCTTCAGATACAAATTCCTCCACATTACTACACTCCTACTTTGGAAAAGAAAGTACAAATCACCCTCTACCTGAAGAAGCATCTTCTCAGATCTTTCCTTTTTCTATAAGGAGCTTATAGAGCAACTTATCCAGTGGTCTGACAACTATTTTTTCCCCCTTGCTATGTACTAATGGCTCCGAGAACTTTGTAAATATTAACTCAGTTAATCCTTACAACAACCCTATTAAGTAGATACTATTAACATCCCCATTTCACAGATGAGGAATCTGAGACAGAAAGAGGAAATAACTTGCCTATGTCACGGGAAACATATCTTTGAAGCCAGAGTCAGGAGTTTTGAAGGAGAAAGACAGATGCTCACAGTGTGTATCGTAAAACACCTGCACAAAACACACAGGCAAAGACACAACGTCCCCCTGCCCCATCCTGTTCCTTTCCCCAGCTGACTATCAAGAGGCTGCAGAGCTCTGCTGGCCAGAATCTACAGAAGGATCGGGGTGTAAAAATGAGGTTAGTGATGTGACAAGTTAGACATCTCATTTCCTCTGGTGATTTCAGTTCTGGCCTTACTGAGACCTCACAGAAAGTTCAAAGTGAGGATGAAGTGGTCCAAGCCACCTCACCCTGGCAGTGGCATAAGGTGCTGAGGACGGAGACAGAATAATCTCCAATTACAAAATGACAACAGCCTGGGACTGTTGGTTCAGGTGCAAACAGACCTTTGGACTTCAGTAGTTCCCTAGAACAACACTGTGTTAGAACACACCTAAATGGAAAGAATATATATAGCATATCAGATGCTCTTATATACAAGGCATTGTGCTAAGCATATAGTCCTCAAAAAGTTAATTTTTACTATATATTATTTAAAAAACAAAAATGTGTATAAAACAATTGAGATCATTTAAAAATGGTAAAAACAAACAAAAAAAAAATGGAGGGTTTGACTTTACGATGTTTGTTATATTTTCCACGGGTATTTATTCAAGAGTGAATACAGGCCAGTGATTTTCATGACACCTACTCCTGGTTCTCACGAGTAAAATCTCCAAACGCTAATTTTTAAAAATTATAATTGGCAGTTTCTGAAAACCATCAAAGAACATTAGAGAAGTATTAAAAGAATGAGCTTACATAAATCAAATTTTTAAAATTTATATTTAAAAACATTCTAAGCACCATGGGTATCTACATTTTACTGATCTTTGGCAGTGACTGATGAACTAAGTGAATTCTTTCTCTATGATGGTCCAAGGCTGAAAATATGTAAATGATGCCTGATTTCTAGGTTTGTCAGAATCATAGTAAATGGTCAAACAGCAATTATACTATATTCCTAATTATTTCTAAGGTAGAATTCTTCCTTTTTCCTTTTATATCAATTGCCTTTTTCCCACTGCAGAATTATCTAACTCCAAATTTTCTAATCAGAAATATTTCAAAAGACAGTAAGAAAATTCTAAAAATATCAATTATAACATCATTACCCCAGCCTGGGTCCACAGATCTAGATTTTAAGCTAATTAGAGAATTGTTGATTATGTTAGAATTTATTGATAGGGACAAAAAAAATCATCTCTGTCAGAAAGCAAGGTGGATTTGGTGATGTTCTGTCGAGTTGCAACCAAGGGAGTTAACTATGATTAAGACAAATTCAATTACAGTTTCTTGAACAGATTACTTGTGTATTTAAGCAACAGGTGATTTGGTCTGCGTGTCAGCTAACGAGGTTGATGAGGCCCTCTGTATTGCTCGCTGCTCTGGATGGTGGCAGCCACCATTTAAAATATTTGCTGCCGGGCTGGCCCGGTGTGCGCCGCTTGGGAGCGCGGCGGCGCTCCCGCCGAGGGTTCAGATCCCACATACAGACCGGTTCCCGCTCACTGGCTGAGCAAGGTGCGGGCGCAGCACCGAGGTTTGCGTTCCTGTTGCCGGTCCCGGTCCGGTACGGGCGCGACACTGAGGGTTGCGATCCATTGCCGGACACGAAAAAAAGACAAAAAAAGGAAAAAAAATAAAAATAAAATAAAATAAAATATTTGCTGCCCTGGTCATACTGATGGGGGAGACAGAAGCAAACAGAACCTGGAAGCAGCTGAGTATAACACAAGGATGAGGAAAAGGCAGCCGGGGAGAGGACACCAGGATACGGAAGGCTTAGCTCTTCCATAACTGTGAGAACTTCGGCATGCACAATGGCCTCCTTCAGGTGATCCATCTACACAGCTAGCCTGTTGGAGGACTGTGTGAAACAGGCACTCTATCGCTTTGTGCTGCACATCATGTGGGCAATAACTTGGCACACATACACATGCAGCATCCTGGAAGACATGTCAAAGTCCAAGTGTCAGTGCACTTCTTGTGAATTACATGGGAACGCTCTTTCAACAGAATTTCCTTAGTGATCAGGGAGGTAAAAGGATAGTAAACTCTCCATCCAATAACCAGTCCATCTTACCAAAAGATTAAAAAGGTTCTGAGTCCTACATACACCAGTTTCTCTTTGGAGGAGGACTCAGAACACAGAAGCTTTCCTAAGAATTCTGCTTCAAAGTCTTAGTGTTTGGTGACATTTCAGCCATGAAAAATAATTTCCCCCTTCCTCATTTCTAAAATTAATAATACACTGCCAGAAAAACCTTTAAATTGGGCTGGCCAGTTAGCTCACTTGGGAGAGCATGGTGCTCATAGCACTAAGGTCAAGGGTTCACATCCCCATACTGGCTAACTGCTGAAAGAAAGAAAAGAAAAGGAAAGGAAAAGAAGGAAAAGGAAAAGAGAAAGGAAAGGAAAGGAAAGGATCTTTAAATATTAAATAAAATATAAAAGTTTATTTTATTATTAACTGTGGCAACTGATTAATTTCCTAAGATTAACTTTATGAAAAGACTTAGTAGTTACATTTAGGGTCACCCCACATTTAGAAAAACTTAAGTGACATTAACAGGGAATGAAATTTTATAAATCAGAGCAAAAGTTAGACTATTACTTATTTGAGTCCCAATTTATATTCTCAAATATAAGATCTCTCATATCAAAAAAGTTATAAAACATTTGCAATTCTATGCTACAATGACCATTATGAAAATCTGGGCATGTGTCTATTAATATCCATTAAATAAACTATTTTATGATCAATTTATGATTTAGGGCAGTATTAGCAGTCTGTCTACACAGAATCAACTGGATTGAGTGCACGATCATCAGTAGCAGCAATTTTCTTGACAAATAACACCAACTGCTACTATGAATATTTTTGTGGTTCACAGATGAGGTCTTAAAAGATTGAAGCAATTTTAACAATGTAGTAAAACAGAGCACTTCTTCAGTGCTAATGTGAAATATTCCAAAATACAACTGCCATACAGAAGTGTAGTTGAGCAAAGCATTCTCCAACATCAGAGTACTTAAGACTGCATTTTAGAATTTTACAACACAAAATTTACTTTTTTTGGGTGCTTGGGGCAGTGGCAAGAAGGGGATAGAAGGGGGAAGGAGAAATGTTACCACTACACAACTGCCATACAGAAGTGTAGTTGAGCAAAGCATTCTCCAACATCAGAGTACTTAAGACTGCATTTTAGAATTTTACAACACAAAATTTACTTTTGTTGGGTGCTTGGGGCAGTGGCAAGAAGGGGATAGAAGGGGGAAGGAGAAATGTTACCACTACCAAATTTGTTTTTTAACTGGCTGCAGATCTAGTTAAGGGTTAAGTGTGTGAGCCCCAGAGACAAGAGTACTTGGCCTAAATCCTGATCCCATCTTTTACTAGCTATGAAACATCTGCTTCCCAGCCTCTCTAGAAATTTTATCATCTTAAACTGTAACATTGAATTTATAAAAGACAGTGGGTGCCACATTTTCCTACTATTTCAGCATTTTTCTGTTGTAATTTTCCATATGAAGGAACCTATATATGCATATAGACTGCTTCAAGGATCAAAGTAATGATCTCATTTTTAAAGTACTGAATTGAATTCATTTATTTTCATCATCCAATAATTACTTTAGAGAATTTTTTTTCATTAAAAAAGTGCTCATTATCCATTATTTCATGGATACAATTACATGCCATTTAATGGCTGCATCATCATAATTACTAGTTCATATAGTAGATTCTAAAAATTAAAAATCACCGGGCAAGTCAAGCAAATCCAATTCATTTTCCATCTGTCATATTGATGCAATTAAAACATTTTCATTTCTAAACCTAAAATAATAAAAGAATCCAATTCCTCTGAATTGGATTACCATGGTACACTTCCAAATGAGAAACAGAACATTCCTATGATAGTTCACTTTAAGCACTATAAATGTTGTGGTCTAGGGTTTTTCAGAATGTGCTCTACGGGTCAGT